AAAAAAATTCAACAGAGAGGGGAAAAGTTCAAAACTCTAAGAGAAATGATGGTGATTAATGGCCAAGTCACGGACCAGAATCACTAGAACCCTGCTGTGTGCAGGGCACGGGGGTCACAGAAGAGACCACGGTCCAGTCTCTGCCTTCTGCGTGCTGCTAGGCAGCACGACAGAGTCATTCATTCACTCATTCACTCATCAGATATTAACTGAGGATCTAGTATGCGCCAGCTCTACTCTACAGAGATGAGTCAGGGTAGGTTCTTGCTTCTCAGATGCCCAGAGTCCAGCTGAGCCAGGACACGTTTTGCCCAGAATTTTCATTAACGTTCATTGAGTCTTGCGGTCCGGGTGTCACTCGGAGAGCAGAAGGCACAGGGTTCGGGGAGGAGGAGAAAGAAGCTAGGACTCAGTGAGGCCCCCGCACAGCAGGCTTTTCCACCTGAGCTGTGGTTTGAACCGCCTGGCGCTCCCCTGTGGAGCTGCTATTACATGGAGCAAACCGCCCAGGCCCAGTGGCGTCAGACAACAAGGGTTTCCTAGGTGCACGGCCTCTGTGGGCAGGAGTTTGGACAGAGCACACAGAGGTGGCTTGATCCTGCTCTGGAACCGCGGGGCTTCAGCTGAGAGCACTCAGAGGCAGGGATGACTCAGCGGCGGGGGGCGGAACCCTCTACAGGCTCCTGGCTGGGCTGGGAGGACCCCAAGTCTCGCCGGAGCCCCTTCCTGGGTCCTCCCCCCAGGGCTGGGGCTTCCTCACTGAGCGCAGCCTTGGGGCAGTTGAAAGTCGTACACGGTGGCCCAGCACCCAAGCGTGACCACTCCAGAGAACAGGGTGGAAGGGGCAGTGCCTTGAGGACCAGCCTCAGAGGTCAGCAGTGTCCCCTGGCCGCGTCGGGCGGCTGCAACTTGAGTCACACCCCGCCCAGACCCGAGGGGAGGGACACGGCCCCTCCTCTCCCTGGGAGGAGGGTCATGTGGGAGACGTGCAGGATGGGTGGAAGATATCATCATGGTCATCTTTGGGAAAGGTCATCTGATTGACAAATGGGGAGACCGGGGCACAGAGAGGGGCAGGAAGTTGCCCAAGGCCACACAGCTCAAGTGACTCAGCTAGTTTCTGAGCCTCTTTTAGTGCCCAGGCTCCTCTTTCCATTTTTCCAGACCCCTTGGGGCAAGGACAGTCAGCCGGGGAAGCTTCTCAAAGGAGGTGGCGCACATCTCTCCCCATCTCGCCCTCGCCTGACTGCCCTGCCTTGCCGGCCCCAGCTGTTTCTATGGCCCTGCATGCCGTAGTCATTGTCTTGTTTTCCTGCCATCACTTCCCTCCCAAAGACTGACAGCTACAGCGTAAGGGCGGGTTCAGTGGAGAGCAAGACCCCCAAATGTCCGACTCTTATTAAAGATATTTTCTCCCCAGGCTGAATTCCTTTTCCTTCTGGTCCCTCCACTTGCCAGGACCAGAAGCCATAGCCAAAGCCATGGCCATGTCTGTGGACCTCACAGTGAGGGGAGAATGGGGGGGGTGGTGGTCCCGACAGGCTGGTGACGCCCACAAGTGGAGGATCTGGAGAAACACACAGAGTTGTGCTACATTTATGGAAGCCGAGGGGTGCTGGGCGAATACATTATGGTAAATGGCTATCTTCACTGTAACGGTTAAAATTTTGAGATTTTTAAAAAACTTAGTGTTAGTCTAATTTAATAGAATATTGTATGGCAACAAAAAGGGCACGGAGTTCTGGTTTGCGCCACACACAGATGAAACTTGGAAGCATTTTGCTAAGTGAAGCCGGACACAAAAGGTCACACAGTGCACGATTCCATCATAGGAAATGTCCAGAACTGGCAAATGCTTAGACGGAGAAAGTAGATACGTGATTGCGCGGGGTTACAGGAAAATGGGCAGTGACGGCTAAGGAGGCAGGGTTGCTTTTGGGGGTGATGAAAATGTTCTAAAATCAACTGTGGTGATGGTTGCATGTATCACTGAATATACTAAAAACCACTGAACTGTACATCGTAAGTGGGTGAATTTTTGGTATGTGAATTATATCTCAATAGAGCTGTTAAAAAATAAATTTCCTTACGAACTTTTCTTGCCATCTGTTTGTGTCAGAGAAATTAAAAAGAACAGATAACCAAAAAGAAGAAGATAGAAAACAGTATCCTACCACTTAAAAACAAGCCACTAGGGAACCTCGGCATGCAGAATTCCGAATACACCAGTTTTTGTGTTTTATTTCCGTTGTTTTCTGGTTTGTTTTTGTTGTTGATGCTGTTGTTTTTAACACACGTGGAGTCACAATGCAGAGTGTTTTGTGTTCTGACAAGTCTTTGAAATCTCAGTTTTCTGGACAGAACAGATCTAATTTGACTGTAGAGACCCGGTAAACACTGCAATTATAACCGCAGAGCAGTAACATCGCTGCTGGGAAAGAAACTTGCCCAGGGATCTGGGAACTTTCCGTTGGGCGGCTGAATTCAGGTTTTGTAAACAGGAGAGCTCCACGATGGTTTCCAGAGCTGAGCACCCGTCCTGGTGCAGGGGCCTCTGGCCGGGCGGCGGACAAGCCCTGGTGGGAGACCAGTGGGGGACGGGCTCAGTCGCCTTCAGCAGGGGTGGGGGTGGGGGTTGAAAGAGAAAGTTTCCCCCCTATATATCTTTAAACCCCAGTTACTTATCTATTCATTTATTTGTCTGTCTTTCTAAATGAAAAGAAGTGATTTATTCACATGGCCACAAAAATCAACATGTACAAAAGAGGAGCAGACAGTTGAAGAAATTCTCCCTCCTCTTCCAGACTGTATCACTACCTGGGACCCACCAACATCGTCAGTTTCTGGGGTTCCTGCCTCCATGTCCAATCACACATGTGGAAATACACTATTTGCCCTCTTCTCTATCAGGCTCCTTAATTACATACATAATACATGCATGTGTGTGTATATGATACCTAAACATAATCTTGAAGATTGGTATCAGTACACATTGAAATGATTTACATTTTGATGGCTGTATACTATTCCACTTTATGGATTAAACTATAATTTATTGAGCCAGTCCCATATAGCTGGAAACTTGTGTTACTTTCAGCATTTGGCTATTACAAATGGTGCTGACATGAGCGTGACTTTACATAGGTCTTTGCCTCTGATTGTGAACATAGCTGTAGAAAAAACTCCTAGAAATTTAATGGCTGGGTCAAATAATTTGTGCATTAAAAAATTTGATAGCTCTTTCCAAATTGGATAGTATATTGTATTGCAAACTATTATATCGCAAACTGTAACCTTCTAATAGTGCACGAGATCATCTGTTCTGACCTAATTCTGGGCTTTTCTTTGGCGATTCCTAAAAGGGGACCAGATATAGATGTCCTCTTCCCCTTCCAGAGCTGGAGAGAGGCGGGCCCACTGCCCCATGTCACACAGCTGCCCTGTGTCCGGTCTCCACCAGAACCCGCCGTTGGGCAGGTGGGTCTGTTGTCGTCTGATACTAACAGCCCCCCTGTATCCTTCTTCCTCTCTTCCTTTACAGGTGTGCCTCTGAGATATCACAGTTTCAACTCCAGACCACTGTGATAAAACGAATGTCGCAATGAAGTGAGTCACACGGATTTTTTGGTTTCCCAGAGCACCTTAAGAATTACATTCACACTATACTGTGGTCTATTAAGTGTGCAATAGCATTGTGTTTTTTTAAAAAAAAAGTTCATACCTCAATTAAAAAAGTACTTTATTGCTAAAAAATTCTACTCATTATCTGGGTCTTCAGAGAGTCATAACCTTTTTGCTGGTGGAGGGTCTGGCTTTGATGTTGGCGGCTGCTGACTGATCAGGGTTCTGGTTGCTAAAGGCTGCGGTGTCTGAGGCAATTTCTTAAAATCAGACAAAGTGATGTTTGCCACATTGATCATCTCTTCCTTTCACAAACGGTCTCTGTTCCATGTGGTGCTCTTTGGTAGCATTTTACTCACAGTTGAACTTCTTTCAAAACTGGAGGCAGTCCTTTCAAACCCTGCTTTATCAACTAAGTTGATGTAATGTTCTACATCCTTTGTTGTCATTTCAGCAGTCTTCACAGAATCTTCACCAGGAGTACATTCCATCTCAAGAAACCACTTTTTTTGTTCATCTATAAGAAGCAACGCCTGGCACAGTAACGTTTTATCGTGAGATGGCAGCAATTCCGTCACATCCTCAGGCTCCACTTACAATTCTACTTCTCTTGCTATTTCTAGCACATCTGCAGCTACTTCCTCCG